CCCCAAAACCCCAAAACCCCAAAACCCCAGTAAGCCTCTGCACAATTGAATAATATTTATTAGTCATTTCCAACTATGATCTTCAAGAAATGTACCAAAAAGATCAATGATGGGGGGTCTGGGTTACCCAAGTGGAATATGTGCCTACCAGGAATGATGGAAAGTAAGATAGCAATGATTTAGCGATATTTCTGGGATAATTAAGGCCTTTGGGGTAAAGAAGTGCTAGAGTTTTGAAAGAGAGAGGGATGGTCTGGTCACTATTTGATGTGGACTCTTTGTTAGCTTCTGATAGATGTCTGGTGATGTTATACGATTTATGGATGACTAAACGTTCTTAACGGGGGACTCAGAAATTTGGGTATGAAATACGGTACTGAATTTATTGGAGAAAAATATCAAAACCTGAAATATGATTGATATGAAACCTTAACAGAATCTAATGATAGAGCTACCTCATCATTATTCTACTTGTTATTATCAACATCTTTGCTTTATGAAAGTTCATTCGTACTTTATCAGAGAAATTAGAAGAAGAGTCGATTGTCTCATAATCTCTGCAATATTTAATTTCAATGAGGTGTTACTACAATTTTTCATAACTGCCTATTCAAAATCCTACCATATCTAGCCTGAGCTATAAATATGCCCAGAGGGTATCTAAGATTGACTTAAAATGACTCAAGACCAATAAATCTTTCTCTTCGAAAGATTCCAATAAATATGCTAATTAGAGATTTTGCTAAAATTTTATGTAGAGGTCAGCAAGATTAACTACTTTTTATTGACAAAATTCTAAAATAGTACATAATCATTAGCACAATTTACTTAGATTTGACAGTGAGATCACAATCTTACTATTCAAAGCTGAAATTGTTTCATGAAGTCTTAGCTGATTTTATTTTTAGACCAAAAAGAAACTGACCTAATGAGCAATGAGGGAATCCTTGGTAAAGGTAAGTCCTAATTTAATTTCATTGGCCTCTTTATGACTGTGAGTCATGATTTAAGCTTCGGAAATCGCTACTCACGCTGCAAACTCTTCTCAAATCTTGCTCTTTGCAGGTAAATTTTCTAGAAATTTGATATGCAAATGTTTCAGATTAAAATATTGAGTCCTTAGAGATAATATGCTCACCATCTTTGTTAAAACGATCTATATAAGTGTTGGCTAGCCTAAGGATACTAGATATGGTCCCTTTATGTACTATGAGCGAAATTGTGTCGTTAAAACTTAACATAATACCCAGTTCCAACTCCTTATGGCTTTGGAGCAGACGTTGAAACTCATATTAGAAATACGAATTTTTATGCACTATTTCACCAAGATTTTCTAATAATCCAACAGCAAAAAGTATGCTCTTTGTCAGCAGACTAATCTTAAGCTTCTTAAGTTGGCTCTGAATTCTATTCTTGCAAATGGTCCTCCTAAAAGTTGGCTGTAGACTTAGTTAGGATCCAAATAATGGTATTTGGGTATATTAAGCTGAGCTTTATGATACCTAAAATGCCATAAGTCTTCTGTAACTATAAATTATCTGCGATAAGGGTAACTTATACCAGGGCTGTGCATTTCCACATCTAATAGCTTCTATTCTTCAGCTGAGGGTTGGTCTTGAGTCTTATTATTTCTTCATAAAGTATCTCATATTTTCTAAAAAGAGGCATGGAAATCTGAACTATGGGAGATTTTTTACTTTAGAAAATCCTAATTTATTTCTGGACTGGGTCTAAAGCAAGATTGGTTCCTTTAGGCTTCATTCTTAGTTTAATTTTCTTATCACATACCTTGTGACATTTGGTTAAGTTCAGAGTACCATTGCAGAAGTTACAAATTTCTTGATTAGCACGAAAATCTATAAAGTTATTTTTGGATATCGAGACCACTCTTCGGTGATCCTTTTGCTACCTCTTTAGCAAGCATACTTATTTTATTAGAGAGTCTAGGCTAGGTTAGATAAGAAACTTTAACCTGTAAATTTAATAGTAAAAATTCACAAAATCCATCACATAAATAACCTTGCTATACAGTTAGGTCCTCTATCGGAATTTTAAGCAATAAATATTAACAGAGCCAGGTGATGGCTCACGGCCAACCACAGCTAACCATTTCTAGGTATATACTCATTTTACTTGCCAGAATTTATACGATCACGAATAATCTCCTCATAAAATTCACTGTTAACTACTTGTGTGAAAATATTAATTGTCCTATTCATGATCCTTTGAGAGGACCCACACCATACTTTACTCATAATTCTTACTCTCAAACTTATCAAGAATGCTGGCTTATGAGGTTTTGGATGCTATTTTAAATTTCTTGAGTTTTAGCATAGCATTACTTCAAATTCTCCAGAAATTCAGGATGTACTTCGTGATAAATATTTCCTAACCTAATGGAATCATACTTATGGCCTACTTTTCAGGGTAAACAAGACTCTGGAGTTATTTTATGCAACAATTTGAGAAGCCATTCCTAACAGAATAGAAGCTGTATAGGCTTGAAAACTAGGATTTCTGTGCTAAGATATGAAAATTTAGATCCGAAAAGCAAGAGTATGAAGGAACCACTAGTAGATGGCAGTCACAGTAGAGAACATGTGCTTGACCAGCAATCTCTCGAAGGTAAATATACTACCAGCAGTCATCGAATTGGGAACCTACGGGTTCAAGCTGACTAAAATTTGCTAAAAATGTTGCAGTTTACTTGATAGTTTTTCTAGATTATTGGAGATATTTGAAAATTAGCGAAATTCGTGTTCTTTATCTCCAAATCTCGTCTGGTATTATTAGTAGAAAATAGAGATTGTAGTGAGAGAATTAACAGTTTTTAGCTGAAATAAATGGCTAACAACTTTTGTGTATCATTTAAAGTATTTATTTTCAAATTTTGGGGTTTTTATGATGCTTATAGCTTATGCTAATGTAGAAGAATCTAACAAACCACAAAGTATGATAAACAATGAAGAACTCAAGCTGTCTCTCCCAATCAAAAAAGGTAGAGGTAGGCCAAGGATGTATCAAGAGCCAGAATTCTATGTAAAAACATTGAGACTTGATGTCAACAACAAAACTCTTATCAGAGCAGCCAAGAGAGAATTCGTTAGCATGTTCAGATATTTTTGTGTTGGCTCTGGGGTACTTCCACCTTTGAATGCTGAGGGGGGTAATTTACAATTTCAGAGAGTCAAATTCAGAATGACAGAAGAAGAATTTAGACAGGCTATACAGAGGTTTGTCGCTTCAATTGCTCAGCAAGATTCTATTGGAATCACTACTACGATACATGAAGACTTTAATAATTTAGAAGAGTTCCTTGCTGTGTTGATTGACCCTTCTAAAAGTTCTTCTATTATACTCCCAGGGACCACTCGACTCCTTAAGGATGAGTTGCATAGATTACTGTATAGATACTCTCACCAAAAATTTGAAACATTTTTGGAACTTCCAGAGATGAGATTCGTGCTTCACAAAGTACTAAACTCAGAATACATAGGAACTCTAATTTCCAAAAGCTCAAAAATGAGCCAATACGAAGGATTGTACAGAAAGTGTGCAGAAAAGATCATTGAAAAGATTGAGCAGATTGACAGAGCCCTTTAAGCTTAACATTGACTTCAATTACTCCTAAACAGTTGCTGAAATCAACCAATTGTATCTTTAGCTTAACTAGTACTAAAATTCACCCAATTTTCTTGATATTGATGCTTGCATAATGCAGCTCTAAGTTTCCTTTTGTTAGCGCTCCTCAAAAGGCACAGCAATTTGCCTAAAAATAAATTTAGTGTGAATACATTTCTCTTGACTTACATATGACCATAGCCATCTTAACAATATAGAGAACATTAGATTACATAATCTTTTGACTAATGCTTATTCACAACCTTGCTGTAAGTAAGGATCTGGGTTGCTAAATTAAGCTATCCAGTGTCACCTCAATTTCTCATTTAATTGATATGATAGAGCACTGTAGGAATTGTCTTAGAAAATTAGTGGAAGCATGACTCCAAGCTAGTCATTTTATCACCAAATTTAATAATGATACCTAAATTGTGGGTCATTTGTTCAGAACCGGAACTTGGATTGCTAAATTGCACATATGTCTTACAAAATCATGGTCTTAATGTAAACTCGATCATTTGACCTTACATTCTAGTGGCTAAATCTTTAGGGCCTTTACCTATACAAATCCCCTTTGTTCATTTCATAGAGTAATTTTCTGGTCTTGGCAATGAGTATGTATAAATACCTAGGCTACTTCTAATTAGACCCAATATTTAGTACATGAAGAGAAGGAGAGTCCATTGGTGTGACCTAAAGCCCTCTTAGTAATTAAAATCGGGTTTTAGCTGCGACCCTTCATTGATTTATTTCAAAATTATATCTACAGCTTGGGGTTTTGGGGTTTTGGGGTTTTGGGGTTTTGGGG